GGGTTTACAGCGCATTGGATGAAGCAGACAGCAGGGTTACGGAGGAACAATATCCCCGAATAGAGCACGGGGTCGTCGTTGAAGCTGTACTCGGGTGACATGCAACTCCTACTATGAGCCCGCGTTGCATTTTCCCAGGACATGACGTAACTCTCCACGAGGCAGACCGGGAAAATTACACCTACTCAGTAAAAAAAAAAAAAAAAAAGAACTTACTGCTTTCCGAAGGTGCAGGAAAAAAAAAAAAAAAAACCTACTTAGTACTTACTGTATTAAGAAGGACTTAGTACTTACTGTATTAAGAAGGTGCAGACATACTGTTGCGAAAAGATGACTGTGGTAGTAGGCTATGGAGACCAGACCGAACGCATATATGAGGAAAGGTGTAGTCGCATATACTTCTTTCCACCGAATCATACAAGTTCAATTAACGGAGCAATTTCTGTTGCAACAAACGTTTTTCGCAGCGCAGTAAAAAAAATCGGGTCTTCCAAAAAAAAAAAAAAAAAAAAAAAAAAAAGTTCCGGCGGCCAGCAGTGCGTCATGTATCAGCAGGGAAAATAAAGCAGGCTTGTGAAGGCAGCATCGTGGTAATCTGGTGATTTTTTACTTTTTTTTTTTTTTTTTTTTTTTTGGGGTTTGAGATAAACGGACGACGGCCTTGACATATCACCATTTAACTGACCAGGTAATTCAGAATGCTTTTATTCTCTTCATCATCTGATAGTATCTGGATTGGAACTTGGGGCCGTATTTGAACAGTTCCTGGGTGTACCAACCCGTAGGCTAGGCCCGTTTGTATTTTCGCAATTTTTTGCACCTTTTGTTTTTTGGGAAATTCCGGAAGTGCCCCGCCAACTTCCATTTATTTCCGGTATGCCGCTCCGACGGCCGACTTACCCTGTAGTGCCCCTGGGGCCTCTGAAGTTTCCTGCATGCCCCTGTCAGTGAGGGGTGCAACGTTCCAGCATGCCCCTGTGGCCGTTGGTAGCACTTGAGCCCGTTCCCCTAGCCGCGGGAGGGGAGCTACAGGGGCATACTGGAAATTTGGAACCGGTAGGGGCATATTGAACATATTTCAGGCCCAAACAACGCCAGGGATTTTTTGGAAATTTCAATAGTTTCAGAGGGGCGCGACAGGGCAAGTCGGGCATCGGAGGGTAAGTCGGGCATCGGAGGGGCATACCGCAAATAAATGGAAGTTGGAGCAGCATTTAAGAAATTTCCCCCTTTTTTTTTGTGTCGACCATTTCTCGGTTTATGTGTGGCATCCTTGTGCAGGAGCCATGCTAAGGGTCTGATCCCAGCACGGCAGTCGCAATGTAGTCGCGAGAAACTACTACAAAGATGTCAGCTACCCGCGCGGGACAAAAAAGAGAAATTTTGAACAATGGGTACAAGACCCTTTACACGTACATCCAATTGCTCATGCAATCTGGCATCCTCCGTTTTTTTTTTTTTTTTTTTTTTTTTTTTKGAAAGYTTKAAMATTTATTACAARAAAAMACTGGGACGAGGCCGGGGACCTCACAATTCTACCCGGAGTTATCCTGGAAGCCTCAGCCAGTTTAGCTTACGAGCCAAGCTCGACAGTCCAAAACTAACTGCACCAAATATCATCTTGCTACCTGCTGAAAACCGGGTCCAGCGTCCCATCCAAATATCTTTCCAAAAAATAAAACGTGAAAGCACAAGTAAAAAGGTGAGCCATCTCCCAATCCTAGCTCCTATTCTTTCCAAGTATCCTGTGGAGTCTTATCTAAAACATTCAAAGCAAAACCTCCACTGAGCTATCCGTGCACCAAAGCCAATTCTGATGATTGGTGAAGTTCTGCCCCAAAGCTACCTAACCTTCCGGTTGCGACCCCTTTCCAACAGTAAACTTTTGACGCACACCAAGTGCTAGAGTATTTCCTTGAATCCAGTCCGGCTCGACCTACTTCCAGGAACAAGCAAACCACCGACCCTATGTTCTTCAGCAAACCGCAATTGTTTCCAACTTCCCAACATGACCCAAATATGGTCAATTGGAAGGCAACTGCAGACCACAGAAGTCAGTCAACTGCCATGGTTTCTACCACCGTTTCCCATTAAGATTCCCAGGCTAATAAAGCCATTTTGCAACACAATAACTGCCATCCGGCTTTAGGGAAGCAAAAAAGTTCTTCGACGTCCACTTTTTCCTGAAACAAGTGCTACCCCCTCCTGCTTTTTGTTTCGATCTCTTCCATTCTGACATCACAGTCATTCTCAACGATTCTTTAATCATGGCCCTTTGTTTCTGGAAAGGCCACCTTTCATTTTTAAACACTGCAGCATTCCGTGCCTTCCAGCTAGTCTCCAGCAGTATACCTCTGCAGACCAATGCAACGTAACTCCACTGGCAGCCCCATGCTGCCTTTGGAGGCAAGATTGCAAACAGGACCCAGTCATCCGTCCATTCCCATTCGTCTCCTCCCCCTTCTTCCCACTGTAATCTCCACCATCTCCATACTTCCTGCGCTAGGGGACAGCGAAGCAAGATGTGATCAGCACTCCCCCAGCCCCAACCACAGCGGCTACAGCTCTGAGCCACGTCCATTCCTCTCGTACTTAGCCACACCGCAGACGGGATAATGTCCAAAGACTGCGTCCACATCAGACTCCCTTGCTTCTGCAACGGGACTCCCTTCAGTCTTTTCCATAACGTGGGGAAGTCCGGCACGGGCTTGGATAACCCCTGCTTCTTTTGAAATCTTTGTGTCGCTGTATCCCGTGGCTGCTGCCTTTTCTGTCTACACAGTGTGGCACCAACTTTTGGAACATAAAATATCAGGGGCGATTTTCTATCGGGGGCGATTCTCCAACCATATTGGAGTGGTTTGAATACAAAGTCTTCCGCTAAGCCGTCCAGCAGTACTAAGCTTCTGGCTTTTGGATGTCGTTGGTCCCACACACGAACTTCTAAGCATTCAGTAGAGGAGTCCACTGTGGTGTCATCCGCCTTTGTGAGTTCAGTACCTCCTTTGATTCCTCTACCCCTTTCCCACCTCTCCACTCTCAAACCCTGGGGCAAATCCGGACCCAGCACTCTTACAATATAGCGCGGATGATCCGGGTGAAGCAGCCAGGTATCCTTGCTATGTTCTGTGTTTTCTTTAAGTACTTCCTCCCAACCCAAGGGGAGGGCTTTTACCAAGGCCGCATAGTTCTCTTCAACCCTGTGTAACCTGGGCAATTTACATCTCAGGTCACCGACCGAAAGTCACGTTTGTCGCTGTGCATCCCAACTGTGTTTCACAAGAAACATACCCTTTTCTATCAACGATCTCGCAAAGTTACCTGCCTTTTGATCAGCGCCAAAGGGTAGGTCGTTCTCGTCCTTGATTAGGACATTATCGAACAGACATTGGTTCCCCACTTCCACCTTGGTTTGGGGGTTGCTCAGCATTACTGGTCTGATCTTACGCCAGGCCTTCAAGATCCCTGCCCAAAGCCTAGAGGAGGTTTTCCTCTTGAAAAAGCTGGTTGATAATAGGCACGACCACACGTTCACCCCTTCCGATAGGGCCCAGTCCCTTCTTAAAATGTATTCCGCCTCTCTTTTTGAAAACAAGCCTTTATAATCCATTTAATTAAACCACCAGTACTTGGGTGACGCCTTAGCGTTAATGCTACGCGATTTCCGCGGCCGGCGGGCCGTCGATAAATCGAATCGACAGCCCGCGCTGCTTCGAGATTTGGGCGGCCGGCGCGGCGCGCAGTGCCCAAGTACTGGTGGTTTAACAGGCATCCTCGTTTTGGGCAACCAGTTGTAGAGGCTTTCACTAGGGGAGGAGCGTCAAGTCCAGTCAATATTGCATACTCTGGAGTATATCAATGGTGGTTCACTATAGGTATGCGTACGAATTTGGATTTATCCCACAGCGCCGACTTCTTAGGTAGTCGTCCTGGACACGGGCAAATTTTTGTGGGCAGCTGTTCAGGGCGGACGGTTTTGTGGCACGGGTTGTGGCTCCCCGAGGGGCTCCTAGAACATCCCAACATTGCAGTGATGCCCTCACCATCTACAGGAAAGTTGTAGTATTTTCGTTCGCACCCTTCGCGGATGTGCTGCCACGACACATACACAAAAAATGTGGGCAAAATATTCGGCATCCACGCGGACCGCGGAAATGTGTGGGATCTCAAAACTACAGTGGAGCTGGGCTGTAGTATAGTGGTGGGATCAGACCCTAAGCTTCTCTTCTTTGCATCTTTCCAATTTTAACAAGGGCGAGGTAGCAAAAAGGATTGGATTGAGTTCCTGAATCTGGATGTGTTTTGAAAAGAGATGCAGAAAAGCCGTTGAATCCCGGTTTTCTGCATATTTCGACGTACATGTCCAGATTCAGGTGCTCAATCCTATTCTCTTTTTGCTAGTGGGACCTAGCCCCGGATTTCCCTGAGGGCACAAGTTTCGGAATTAAGAATAAGGGGTGGACCCCAC